AAAAAAAAAAAAAAATGAGAACAGGAACTAGTTTTACTTCAACTTCATCACCAACAATAAAAGCTACATTTTCACCGCCGGCGATATTTCAAAAATCGCCGTGGCATTCACCGGTGCCGTATCTCTTCGGCGGATTAGCAGCTATGTTAGGATTAATAGCTTTTGCTCTATTAATATTAGCTTGTTCTTACTGGAAACTCTCTTCCCATTTAAGAGAACATGACGATAATCAGTCACACGATGATACTGAGGTCGGTGCCGGTGAAAAACCGGCGACCGGAGTTGTGAGGGCGGTGCCGGAGTTTGAAGAGAAGATTGTTGTTATAATGGCTGGAGATTTGAACCCAAGTTTTTTGGCTACGCCTATGTTAATGTTAAGTAAAGGTGGTACTGTTTTAGGTGATGGAAGTAATTTGAATAAATGTGAGGAAAATTCGGAAAAGGGAAGTGATGAAAAGGAGAAATTAGAAGAAGTGGCGATTGAGGTTAGAGAAGAGAGTAATGGAGATACTCAACAAAGCCATGGACAAAACCAGTGAGCTCAAAATATAGTGTGATCTTTTCTTTTCTTTTGGTTTTATCACCTTTTTTTTTCATCTCCTTTTTCGTTTGAATTTCTAGTTTTGAGATCACGGGAATTGTAAATTATTGGTTGAGATGAGAAAGAGTGTATATTTATTTTCTATTATTCTATTCTCTGTTCCATTTTATATTTTACTATGTTTTTGGTTACTCGACTAAATGGTTTGTTTGGCCAAGCTTCTAAAATTAGTTTATTTTGATAAGTGTTTTTCTCAAAAGTACTTTTCAAAAGAATGCTTTTGGTGAAAAACAGTTTGTGTTTGACTAATTAATATGAAAAGCACTTTTGAGCAGTAATTAGTGTTTGGTCAAACTTTTAAAAACTGTTTTTATGTGTATTTTTCTCAAAAATGTTTCTCAAAAAAGTGCTTTTGGGGAGAAATTACTTTTTCCTGCTTCTCAAAAACTGCTTTTTTTCTCAAAAACACTTTTTTTCCTTATAAAAACTTGGTCAAAACACCTTAATTTTTGGAAAAAAAATACATTTGGCTCCAAAAAAAACTTCAACCTAATTGACGTAAGAAATATCACGTTGGAGGATAAAACATTCTAGAACAAAAGTAAATCTATACATAAAAGTCGAACATGTTCCATTTTATATTTTAGATGATTATATTTAGAAACTCTTTAAATTTAAACTTTTTGTATTATAGTGCGGTCTTACAAATTTGTGGGGTGCTTAAGACTAAATAGCGTAAATTTTAAGAATATTTTTGGCATGTGCCAAATATTTATTTCTCTGTGTAGACTTTGTATTCGTTTAAATATCACCATATAAAATAAATGAAACGGAGGAAGTATATATATGGGTGACTAGGCTTCAGCATAAGACTAATGCAATTGAAGTAATGAGTTGTAAGTGAGCTAAAGTTAAATAGTTACTCCTATATATTAACCTCGTAATGTATTCTTTTAAAAAATGTATTTAGTATTGTATATTATAAATATTTACCACTTAAAAATAGATAACTTAACCATCATTTTGGAAGAGTATAAGGACTCATTTGGCCATAGATTTTACCAAAATAAATTTGGGTTTTATTTGGCAAACACATGTTTGGTTATAGATTTTGCCTACATTTTGGCAAAATTCCAAATCTCAAGCTGATTTTGGGCCAAAATATTTACGCACACTAATAATACACATGTTTTTCCAAAATAAATTTGGAAAATATGTTTTGAAAACTGATGCCCAAACACATTTTCATCTTCAACCCAAACTTCACCCAAATCAGAATTTCAAAATAAATTTGGAAATCTATGGTCAAACGCTAGCTAAGTTTATGGAGTAATAGAGTTCTATTTTTCTTGTTAACTATGTTTTTCTTTCATTACATTGCATATAATAAAGGTACCAAGGCCAATGGTTGTTAGCTATATTCATGAAATAAAAACCTTTAGTAAAATTGTTAGAAAACTGAAAATAGCACCTTTAATATAAGTTGAAAGGAAATTGGAGGCAATTTTGATTATGGAAAATTAACTTTATATGTTTAAGGATATATTCGTGCTAACTCCCATCTAGTTGAAGAATAGTATAGACGCTTGATCTCTCTAACTTACAAAATTATAGAAACATCCATTCTTGTTCTAAATTCGATTACAAAAGCCTCATTCATACTTTGATGTTATTTGAAACTTTTGATATATAATATCCATAGATTCAAATTTTATGCACTGATAGTGTAAAATATATTTATATAATCGAGTTATTTATAAGATAATTATAGGTAAATTACTTAATAACTAATTTGCTATAATAGGTTAAACTACACTAATAGTATACAAAATTTCATATCGTCAGTATACTAATTTAAATCTTTGTCAATGTAGTGTTTTCTCCATATTTTTATTGTTAGATATTTGGAGTACCACGTTAATCTTAACCCTAATGTAAAACTTTAATACCTAAACTACCTCATCAATTATTTTTTTTGAAAAGAAAAACATCAACTAACGATACAACAACAATAAAAAATGGAGTCAAAAGAGGATAGTACGTACGTAGACCTTATTTCTATCTTGTGATAAAAATAATACTCCCCCGTTTCAATTTAGATGACGTAGTTTGATTCAATACGGAGTTTAAGAAAAAAAGAAAAAGACTTTTGAAATTTGTGGTATTAAAAGTTTAAGGGGTAAAAGCTTTGTGGGGTCATGACATTTGTGTGGTTATAAAAGCTTCTTATTAAGGGTAAAATAAATAAAATGAAGAGTTTAAAGTTGAATTATTTCCAAATTTAAAAATGTGTCATTTATTTTGGAACAATTTAAAAAGGAAAATACCTCATCTAATTTGAAACACAGGGAGTATAGTTTTTCCGATAAACTAACGGTAAAACAAGAATTCATGAAACTAAAATCTTCAACTTCCTTTCGCAACAACAAAAAAAAAAAGTTACAAATTGCTTATGTAAATGAAAAAAATTATTTAAAGAAAGATTTTCAAAATGAAAAGAAAGATCTCGGATCTGATCTTATCCAATAGTGCTTATGTAATTAAATAAACTATTATAAAGGTACTACTCATTTTGCGTCTTGATACTCCACTAGACAGGAGAATAAAGTGAAAGAAGAAACAATAGGAGTATATATTCTTACTGTTGGATTCAAGTGTGTTTGGCAAAACCAAGAAAAAAAAAAGGAGGATGTTGTTGAATGCTTCCAGTTGTATGGGAAGTGATGTTAGCAAATTGGCTCAAATTTTTCTTGGTGGGAGCAGTTGAATGATAGGTGAAAGTGAAATAATTGTGGCACTGTTTTCTGCAAAGTCTCGTGTCAAGTGTAGAGATAAGGCGAATGCTGATATTGAAATTGCGGCAGGAGAGGCGTGAAAGTGGGCGACGCGGCGAAATGTGCCCGTGAAGCCCTTTAATTGCAACTGTTAACTGATTTAGAGTATTCTAGGATTAGCCGGGAAAAAGTAGTTTTGAAGCACGAGTGTTTAAAATCAGCTTTTAAGTGCTGAAACTTATTTTTATAAATAAACAGTTATCTGTTTGGATAAAAGTACTGAAACTTAAAAAAGTTGTTGAAGTGTTTAATAAACAAATGCTGGTAATAATTTTTTTCTGTTAAAAAGATAGAAATATCCTTAAAGCTGTTAACATTATAAAGGAGCTGATTACTACAATATGTTTGATTCATATAATTAATGCAAATAAAAAATAATTTATATTTTAATTTAATTTCAATTTAAAAGTTTACTTTGTTAGTAAACTGTATTTGTAAAATAATTCTGGAAATATAAATGAACATAAACATAAATGAACTACGAAATAACATAAAACCAATTCGAGCCCACTGAATTCACAGTGTTTCCTTAAGGAATTTAATCTCCTCCTAGTACCCAAGGTTATGGATTATTTCCTCCCATGATAGAACGAATTACACACTAGTGTAGTGGTACTTCAAACCCCAGTGTTTCAGCGAATACAAAGTTCGGTAGCAAATCACACTTACTGTTGCTTTGTTTGATGCTAAAAGTATGCAGAAGAAGGAGGAGAAACTCAGAAAATCATATGGAAATTCTTAACAGAATAGCGTTGTATTTATAGCCAAAGTTGGGCTGAAATCTGAAGAGGTGCAACTCTTCAGAATGGTTGTTTATGCAAAACAGCCACAACATAAATGCCATTACATAAACAGCTATTTAATCAACAATAAAGAGGAAAAATTGAAGAGGGTAGTTAATTTTCTGTTACCAAAACAGAAAAATAGATTGGAGGATTTAATATTAATATTTTGTTATTAAAACAAATATTTAATAACATTTCTGTTAATATTTTACTATTAACAAATAAATTTGGTCCAAAAAATTAATCAATCAATCAATCATTTGACCAAATCCAAATCTGAATCCGAAGCCAAGCCGAGCGAGCGACGACGATGACGGCGCGAGGCTTGCCTTCTTCTCAACTCTTTAAGAGCTAGAAGAAGAGCAATTGCTTATATACCCATAAAAAAATTCTTCCTCTTCCAATATGAGACAATGTCCCTTTGCCAAGGGAGGAAACTTAAAATTTCACTCAAAAATTTCATTTCCCTCCATTTCCCATTCACCCTCTTTTAAGTATTTAATATAATTAAATACATAAAACCCAACAATCCCCCACATGAATGGGGAATGACTATATCACAGAAACATGCATGAAAAATTGTGTGATTCGCAAGCAAGGATTAATTGCATCTGGATAAGTAGGTTTCCCTTTGAACTTTCCATAGTGAACTTATGTTGGATATACTCGATCAATCGGTAGATTTGATATCTTTAAACCGTCGAACTTTGGTGTATACCTAGACAACCACAAGTCACACAACCAACCATTAACTGTCTTTGGTTCTCATTGTTGTATTTGTTTCAGCCATGAATACCGCATAATTTCATAAGTGCATAGAGAACTGGCCTTACAAAATTCTCCTTGAAGTGTCTAACACTTCACACTTACATAGGTGATTCCTAAACGTATCATCCCGTAGATACACTATTTGATATATCCTTGGTACTGAACATTTTCTCATCACGAGAATGGACCAAAAGTTTAGTTGACAATGTTGAACCATTATTAATGACTTTGTTTGATCTCCTTGAACCTAGAACTTGGAATCTCCAGTCTTCTAGGTAGAGTTACCGCTATGACTTGTTCTCGGCCACAGTCCAATTTTCCTTAATGATTTCTCAACTATCTCTCTAGTTAGGCCTTTTGTAAGTGGATCCGACACATTATCACTTGACTTTACATAATCAATCGTGATAATCCCTTTAGAGAGGAATTGCCTAACGGTTTTATGTCTTCATCGTATATGACGAGATTTACCGTTATGCATAACGCTCCCAGGATTTCCAATAGTCGCTTGACTATCGCAATGTATGCATATTGGTGCCAATGGTTTGGGCAAAAATGGAATATCTTCCAAGAAATTTTGGAGCCATTCAACTTCTTCACCGGCTTTATCTAAGGCTATGAATTCAGCCTCCATTTTAGAGCGGGCAATATAAGTTTGTTTGGACGACATCCAAGATACTGCTCCTCCACCAATAGTGAATACATATCCACTTGTGGACTTGGAATCGGTTGATCCAGTGATCCAATTTGCATCACAATATCCTTCAATGACCGCATGATAT